TTTCAAAATATGGATAATTCGAGGTTGAGAGTATCCTTGTTGTAAAACTTGCCAGATACGTCCTTCGATAATATCGGAAATTTTATTACGTGGCATTTGTTCAAAATGAATTTTAACGAATCGGACGGATAACGAAGAGTCTAACTGTTATTCAACAGAAAAGAAAAAAGCGTTCAATATATAATGTGCACATGTCATCGCGAACACCAAACGCAATTAGCTTGTATATAAAGAATAAAACTATTAAAAATAACGTGAACTATCTGCAAAAATTTTTTTTCATGCTCGTTTGAGATCTATTAATTTTTTGGTGTAGGACCAGAGAAAATAGAATGCAAATTATATGGTTCGATAGAGTAGTCGATGACCTATCCTACTGTGTTAAAATAAGAAACTTCCAACGTTCTACTTAAATACAGCAAACTACACAAAACTATTAAAAATAACGTAATCATGCTGTATATATCTTCTTTCATTTTGAAATTATTGTGTTGGCGTCATGTCTCTAATCAAATCTATATCGACATTATTAACGACTTCCGATAGTATTGATATTAATCAATTAGATCCAAGTGTACAAATTGAAGTCAACAAGATCTATGAATATATACAGGACCAGTTATTTTTCGATCCAAATCTCAATTATGAACAATTAATGTTTTTATTAAATGAACGAGATACGATTGAACGTAAATTTATTGAATTTCTAATCGATCGTATATATGATTTAAACATTGATCCACATATTAGAGATCGTATTTTATTTAATATTAATCAATTTAGTTCAAATCTCATACGCATTCATCAGTATTCAAATGTAAATCGACGTTTCGTTTTTCATTGCGATTGGGATGATGAATCTTATGAAAGCTACGAGTCAGATGCAAATGAGTCTGACGACGACGACGACAGTTATTATGATATCGAACAACAAATATTTAAATATTTTGAACTTCGACAATATATTGACGTTTTGTCTCATGATCTTGAATTAATGAACTTGAAGATGGCAGTAATGATAATGATGAACATCATTAGAATTAAAATTCCATTTTTTTTTTTGTTATTTTCCATTTGTTTTTCAGTAAAAAAAGAAGCAACAATAAATGAAATTTTTTTCTATACATATCATTTCTAATAATGAAAAAGGTTGAACAACACTACTTATAATCTAATACTGGAGATAGAAGTCAATTTGGCGAATGATATCTGCAATAGTTCATCTCTTTTTTCCTATAATAATAATCAGATTCTATTTTGCGATTGATAACAACTGACACATGTTAAAAGTAACGCATTGAATGAGACTTTACAAATCAGTTTTTCAGTTATTGACGATTCATTATATTAGATATTAATTTTTTTAGCAACTACATTGAGTATCATAACGTGAAACCGTCTCCATTTCATCTGATGCGTAAATCATCACGATTCATCATCTCAACTTTATATGTCCGACTTTCTATTTTTGTGACAGTGTTTCTTATGTTGTACAGTTTCAAATTAGAAATTGAACTTTGAATGCAGGTCAATATGAGAGGCCTATCACTAATGCTAAATAGCCAATTTTTTTTCATTCAAGAAAATGTGACATTTATGAAATAGGTTAGTCACAAAAGGGAGATTTGACAAATTCTGAGTAACTAATGAATTGATGAGTGACAAAAAAACATGCACGATGAGTTAAAAAGAAATCTTATGCCATCCGAGCCACATTTAAAATTAGAATAAATGTACAATTCTCTATTCAAACTATGAAATTATCTACTACATTCTTTTCATATCGTATAATTCATGTGAAATTTTGAGCCAAGAGAATATAATTATTTCTACTGATTCTTCCTACTGTTGAAAAGAACAAAACTTCAGTCTATAATAACGTACCTATATCACCGTTTGCTTATGATCCATATGAATCATATGACTGGGAATGGTCGAAAAAAAATATTATTTGTTTTTTGGATTATTATATTTTGTTTTTAATTTTCTTGTAATATAATTTCTTTTTTTGTATCACAGATTTCTTTTTGGGTGTTATGACATTTTTTTTTCTTATATGGTTACAAATTTGTTTTTTAGTACTAATATATATACTTTGTTTCACTTTGAATATAATGATAGAGATACATCATACATACAAAGTACTTCAGATTTCCACGAATTTTGTAGATACTCATTCATAGGCGAAAAAAATGGAAATCAGAAAGTTCGGTTCAAAATGAGCTGAAAATATCATATTTCGAAGATACAACTGCTACGCGACATCTATAGGTTAGAAGTCCAAAGGTCAAATGATCTTCTCGAGGTAACCGTTTGAAAGGGTAATCCTTAACAGAAAACATAGATTAAAAGGTCAAAGGTCAATTTCAGTACATATAGATATGAAAATCGTTAGCTAACAAAATTCAAAATTTAAATTTGATTTTCTGTCAAAGGTCACAGTCGATATCGTATTCGAATGAAAACCGTTATAACTAATAATTTTTCAATGGAAAATAATTTTTAAGGTCAAAGGTTATACTGTGTCTACGAGTGTAAACAGTTATCTATTGAAATTTCAAAAATTAAAAAAAGAACCCTGGAAACGACTGAAGAAAATAATTAATTAACAAAGAAAACAAAGAAAACAATAATTTTTGTATTGAAAAAATGTTTTCAAAGTCTGAGTTGGAAGCACACCTAGTCAATAATCATATAACGTTAAATTACGAGAGGTTCAAAATAACTTTTATACAGTGAAACGCCATAATTGGGAAATCATAGTATTACGTTGATTTGATAGTGCGCAAAAATTTGACAGCCAATTAAAAATCGATAGGCAATAAAATAAAAACTAGAAAAAACGAGTTGAAAATTCATGGTCATACATGCAATTGTTTAGCTATTAGTTATAAGATGATAATTAAATTTTTTATGAAGAATGTGATAGATTGGAAGGAAAAACAATTTTAAAGGCACACTGTTTCAGTTTTGCATTTGAAAAAAAACAATTGAATTTTTTTGAAATAACTTGAGCAAATTTACGTGATAAATTTTGCAAAAAGATTTTGAATGTTTTTTGCGGTACAAATTAAAATGATATTTCTATTATACTTCGAAAAAAATGTATATGATTTTTTTTGTGTTAATTTGTTTACTACACATGTTCAGCTAAGCGATCTTTATTATTCGTTTTATCTTGTATAATGTCATTAAAATAACAAAAAAAAACAACTTTATATTTTCAATTTGTAATAGAAGTAAATAATAATAGAAATTAATATCTATTTTATTTCCTTTATCGTTCTATCTTTGCTAAGTCGGACGTATACTCGTCCGTTCCTTTCGTTCGGTTCGAAGAAAAATGCTAAAAATACCCAGTTTTTTATTTCATATTTCTTGTGATCGATATTTAACCTTTGAATATTAGTATAATCCCGTGTAGTCTAGACATTAAAAATCCGAAAAGAGATCGGAAGAAAAAAGAAAATGAAAAGAGAGAAAAATCATTAATTGACACTTTCATTTATTAAAACTAGTACGTGATAAACACATATATTTCTATATTCGAGTGATCATATATATATCATGGGTGGCAAAGTACAAACAAAATTATTCAAGAACGTCATGAAACGTGCTGAATGGATGCGTGCTCCCTATCGTCAATCATCATGGACCAGTGATACCTATAAAACAGTAATCAAGCCAACAGTTGCCAAAAAAGTCGTAAAAAGTAATCAGGTACAGGTTAGAAGTTCGTCTGATCTTAAGAAATAGTCATTAAATGTTGTAATATTTTTCATCCTAAAAACATATTCTACTTATAAAAATTTTCAATAAGTCATTCTTATTTAATTTTTCGAAACAGGAACAAGTCGTTGTCAAACAAGTTCAACAGCTGCAACAACAGAAATAAGATTTATTTAATCAAAAAACTTTCATCAATAATAAAAACTTTATATTGTACAATAATTGTTTTTGTATTTGACATGTAAATATATGAAAATATATAGATTTTTGATAGAATTATTATAGCAAAGTGTTGTGTATAAAACACAGTATTGATACCAAGAATTTTCTTTTCGTACATTTCACCAATTTTTCCAATGAACTAATTTGGTTCAGAAGAAATTCTTTCTCAATCACAGTCTACTTCGCAGCTTTCCAGTTTTTTTCAGTAGTACTAACTTATATTACGACAAATTCTCAGATCTTCCTATTTATATTTCCTTGACTTGGTCGTAATTAGCACACCGAGTTCCTTAGAGAAATAGAGATTAAAACTTATACGTAATCTGGTATATTTCATATCAATTTTCTTTAATAAACATAATTTTATTTTCTATTTCAATGAAATATTATAATTACATGTCTTTGTAGAATAGATTTACACGATAAAAATTTTTAGTATATTAAAATGAAAATGTCGATTGTACGAGTACAACAACAACAAAAAGTAAGAAGAAAAAAATTAAATAGATTAAAGTAATTATGTTTGTATGATTTCTTTCGTTTAGAACAACAACATAATCTTTATCAAAAATTAATTCATCTATCAGATGTTAATCAAAATGGAAGAGTAAGATAGAAAACTCAATCTTTGCTCTAAATATAATAGAATTATTTCTTAAAATTTAGCTTGTTTTACCATTTTCGCGTCGATTAATACTTATTGATCGTCCTTGAAAGTGAATATGAAAAGTAAGTTATTTTTATCAAATAACATGTTTTTCTATTATTTAATATTGTAATTTTTTTTTACTATCCATAGTAATAACAATCAAGAAAATAAAACATCTGATCAATATAATAATTCAAAATCTGAATTCTCATCATCAATATCAGAAAATTATTTTCCAACAGATGATGAGAATAATGATGATAATAATGAAGAAAATGAATCATTTGATCCAGCTTGGTATCCACCGTAACCATTTGCTTATGATCCATTCGATTCTTATGATTGGGAATCTTAAAACATTATAAACAATAAATTCTTTTGCTGTTTCTTTTTGTATTATTAATTGTGGGCTTTTGCTATTCTTGTATATAGTTTTTTTTTCTTGATGAATAAAAACAAAGAAATAAATGATTCATACATAATGCCGGAGCAACAATCATTTAGAAAAGATAGTTATAGACAAAACAAAATGCTTAGATTCGAATTATTCTATTCTCCATTAAAATTTAAACAAAACATCTTAGGAAATATTCGATCTAAGCAAAAATGTAGAGCTCGTCGAATTCTATCAAGTAGTGAACTACTATTTCAAGGTGAATCTGTTTTGAAAAGATAACCATTAGAAGTTCTAATGTCAAATTTTAAACATAACTGTTAATAAATAAACAGTCAAACGATATTCACAATAGGA